GAGGATCATTAGCAGAGGTATGTGTTCGTTGTTGTTTCTTCATCATCATTGGGTATGCTTCCTATAATTGTGGCCATTAAATTTGTCTTTTTGTCTTATTAACTGAAAATGGTCTTCACAATTTTCGTATGCAGCAAGTAATTGGGAAATACAAATTGAGGGAGAAAGGAAATGGCCAACATCAGACTTATGCTTTAGGAATTAAAGAAGTAATTGTCAACTTCTCTTTTCGGTTTGTTGCATATCTCATGAGAAGTGATACTTTTCATCAGATCTCCCTTCATTATTTGAGTTCTTATGTGTTGATTTTAGCTGCTAATCAATTCCTGAAGTTCTTAGGTCTGGGAAATTGATGCAAACAAACACAGACCCGGAGATGTGCTTCATACAATAGGTTGGCCCTTGGACCACAAGACTTATGGAGGATCTTTCTTGTACCATATGAAAGAAAGACAGGTATATACATTGTTTTTTTGTTCTGGCTAGTCTAAGAAAAAAAGTTGTGATTTATTCAATTTGCTTAGAGTTGTGCCATCATCCTTTGCTATTACTTCATTAGACACGGGGGTCACATTTCAGTGGGATTAGAATGATTTGAGTGTAGAAGCTCCTCTGACTTTGATTTATTTATTCAAAGAGATATTTCAAAGCAGTGGCTTTATAGTTACTGCCTTTGCTTGTGGGTGAGCATTATTGAATGGTGCTCCTCAGGACTTTCTTACCTATGTCCAATGGACTTCTTGCTAGAATTCATTTAGTTTTGCTTCTTGGGTGGTGTGTAGGTTGCAATTGGCCTTGTGGTCGCTTTGAATTATCACAATCCTTTCTTGAACCCCTATGAGGAATTCCAGGTATATTAGACAATTATTTATGTTATATTGCTTTTCCATTTCTCATCTACCCCTGTGAAGAATTCCAGTTATATTAGAGAAAGATATAAGTTATATTGCTTTTCCATTTCTCATCTACTTACTCTTGTTTCATACAAGTTGTATATGTATGTCTTTCAAACATCTATATTTTTCAGTCAAGGGTCTTAGCTCTCACTGTTTGGAGTTTGGACATTTTAAAAACCGAGGTCTTCAACTTAAACTGATTTTGGCATGATGTTGGGAAAATATATGCAGTGCTGCTCTCCTAACATGGTGACATGAATAGCTGGATGACTACTTTACAAATGTGACTTATTTCTCTCAGGCCTTCATTTGTTGTTTTTTGTTCATAATTTTTGTTTTGAAATTCCATGGAGGAAGGCTCATAGAGGACTTTAAATTGTAATGATAACATGTGTTTTGTAGTTACATCTATATTGCTTCTTACTTCCTAAAATCTGTTTCTTACATGAAAATGTCACAACATTTTGATGTTTTGCCCTTTTTAATAGTAATTTTGTTCCCCTGTCAGAGAACTTCACATGCCTAGTGGTTTATTATATTTTGATACTTTCTATCACGATAATTCCACATTGAATATATTTTATATTTGTGCTCTCTTTCACAGAAATTCAAGCATCATCCTGCAATTAGACCCCTTCTTGAGGGTGGAACAGTTCTCCAATATGGTGCTCGTACTTTAAACGAAGGAGGTTATCAGGTGTGTTGAAAGTTCTCTTAATCCTGGAGTGTATGAGGGTATATATTGAAGTAATAATCAAGAAGTAGTCTTTTAACCAGTTAACACAGTATATGCCTATGAGCTACTTTATGTTGCACTATGATGCGATCACATGGACATTAAAGGGAGTAAAATTAACTAGTCTTTCTATCCTTAAAAATAGTTTTAACTAATCTCATATACTGGGGTGAGTCTGTACTTCTTAAATCAATTTCTTACTGTGTTGTACAATTACAAATATGATATAGTTAAATTTCAGTCTATTCCATATCCAGTGTTCCCGGGTGGAGCAGTTATAGGATGCTCAGCAGGATTCCTAAATGTCCCAAAGATAAAGGGAACTCATACAGCCATGAAATCAGGTATTGCTTACAATGCCTTCATGGATCCAACACTTTGAGAAATTCATTTAAATGTTGACTTTGTTGGATCCTTGTCCTTGAATTAATAATAACTAGAAAGCAAAATTGGAAAGACCTAGATAATAATAATGAGCAGAAAAAAAAAGAGATGGTCCAATGAAAGATAATAACATTCCATTTTTATGAAGCGGCAATTATAAATGGCATTGCCCAAAAAGAAAATGGGGGAAGTTAGAGTGGAACACTGATAGTAATAGTAAATAACTAGAAAGCTTTGATTATGACTTGCAAACGGTACAAAATGATTTTCTTTGTTGATAGCTTATGCATACAATAAGTGCACTGATGGTGGTAAATTTCAATCTGTTAGGAATGCTAGCAGCAGAATCTGCATTTGATATGCTTCAGGGAGGGTCAAATATGGAAACTTTTTGGGACAACTTAAGAAGTTCATGGATATGGAAAGAACTTTACCATGCTAGGAATTATCGTCCGGTGAGTATTGTCTAATGCTTATGTTCATTACATATACATGTTAACAAAATATTGCTCTTATACTTGGATCAAAGATAGTGTTCTTTTCTATCTCTGCCTTCCTGATGCCATTTCATAGGCCCTTTTCGTGTGGTATTTATTATCAGTCATTTTTTTTAATCTCTTTGTTATTTTGTATTTTCAGGCATTTGAAAATGGGCTCTTTCCTGGCTTGGCATTGAGTGCTATAGAACGGTAAGCTGTTATGTTCTCATGAATCAACATAGCCTTTCATTGTCTACGTCTCTACGATACTAACATATATGCTTTATTTTCTCACAGCTATATACTCAAGGGAAGATCTCCATTGACATTTAAGCATGGGAAGCCTGATCATGAAGCAATAAATGTAAGAAACTAGGAGATCTTCCCTGTTTCTTCATTGTGACTAGCAAGCCCTATGATGTTACTGCATGAGTTATTATTTTTTATGGTATTGTGTAAGGTATCTTAATAGCATTACTTTAATTGCATGAGTTACTTCCCACATTTCCAGGAAGCCAAATCATCCTTGCCCATTGAGTACCCTAAACCAGATGGGGCCATCTCTTTCGACATACTAACCTCTGTGTACAGGTAATCCATTGGTACGGTGATTGACCTACTTCGTGTCCTGATTGATATTTACCAATTCAATTTGAATTATTGTACTGTGTTTTTATTTGCGATGCCGGCATTTTTTCTAGAAGCAGACTTGCCAGTTTTGTTAGTCTAGGGTCAAAAGTTTAGTACTGGGATGTTGGGGCAAGAATTATGATGATTGAATAAACTAAAGATTAAATGCCTGAGGAATGCTCACAAGTCTTGCTCGCCATCAAATTTCGAACATTTCTTTTTAAATCCAAATTTTGGAGGTAACTGTAAGTGGAACCATCTTCACTAGATTATAGTGATTTAGAATATCCTGACTGAGAATGCTGTGTGCTAGTGCTACAAAAGTGACCTTATTTTTTTAATTTTTTATTGTAATCAAACACAATATAGTTCAGTGATAGTCAATTGGCATTCGGATAATGTTAAGATCCCAAAAGAAGCATCTTCTTGTTCGCGAAGAATCACCATAGTAAACACCATATATAAAGGAATTTACTTCTCATGTACTAACCCTGCTCTCATACTGGTAGTAGTTTGTGTTGCATTCAGATGCAGGGATATATTGCTCTGACTTCTTCTGTATATTATCTTGAAATATAACATATCTATTTTGTTGTTATATGATAGGAGCAACACAAATCATGATCATGACCAACCAGCCCATCTTCGATTAAAAGATCCTAAAACTCCAGAACTCGTGAACTTGCCCAAGTATGCTGGACCCGAGTCACGATATTGCCCTGCACGAGTTTATGAGTAATATGCTTGCACAAGCAATTTTGTTTGTTTTTTCTCCATTTAAATTATCTATTTTAGTTTTATTGATATTCTCTATTTCAAAATTATAGGTATATATCAGATGATAATGGTGAGGTGAAGTTAAATATCAATGCCCAGAACTGCTTGCACTGTAAGGTAATAGCTTCCTGTTAACAAGTTACTTTTATAAAAACAGTTTTTAATAGTTTTCTAGAAAATTGTTTCTTGTTTTCAAAATAGGAACTGTATTAGTAAACATGTTTTCTGTTTCCTATTTTCCAATTCTCCAGTTTTCTAGAAAACTAAAAAAAAAATCCAGTTAGTAAACGGGCCTATATGTTCTTACTAATATCATAATTTTCAGGCTTGTGATATTAAAGATCCAACACAAAACATCAAATGGACAGTGCCAGAAGGAGGTGGTGGCCCAGGCTATACAGTGATGTGATGTGAATAATTTCATGGTTATGGATATATGCACTAAAAACAACTTTTATATGGCATCTTGTAACATGACAAAGGAGATTTCTTTAACATGTGAACTACTGGGAAGGTGGCCTCTACCTTTTTTATTACTCCATACTATTAGTTTAATGTTTTTAGTGTTATTGAGATCAAATAAAGGTGGAATTTGGAGGAAACTAGAAGGGTATTTCATAATACTTGTTCCATTTACATCAATCTATTTTAATCCATTGAATACAACTTGCAACAAAATACTAGGGAAAAAGTAAGTGTCAAATAAATCACTGAAATTATTAATGTTGTGTAATTGCAATCGAACAAACGAGTAAAATATGTTAGTTGAGACATTATTTTAATTTATTTTTTTTAAATTTAATTTGAATTGAAAACCTTTTAATCTTTACTTTCAACTAGTATTGCAGTAGAAATGACAATTCTTAATATATACTCATTACTATATAAGTAATGTGATAAAATTTTACCAGAAAAAAAAAATCTCAATTACACATTTTGTTTGTTTAATAGTTCAATTGTATACTTTTTAAGTTTTTAAATTTGGTGATTCAATTACACAAAAGTGATAAATTCTGTGATCTATTTGACACTCCTCGAATGTTAATGGTACTGCTAGGGTGATGTGCATTCTTCAGATGGCTATCAATTACAAAGCTCTGAGAGAGAGAGAGAGAGGGTTGGTGAATATATAAATACAACAGGACTTACCATAAGAACTGAAGGTTGAGTATTTAAGTACACAACAAAAGGTGAAATGAATAAGAATTTAACAATTTAATCACCTAAAATTCAATGGGATCCTAAGTTTCTGGAGATAGACCAATCTTAGAGGCTACAATGAAGCTTCAAGCACTACTGCCATCTGAAGGATTCTCGCTTTGACCACTCACCGATAATGAATTCCTCAGCTTCATGTCCCCGGATTGGTGCAAATGTTGTTCCTGAGACTGATGATGCTGCAGTTGTTGCAATTGGTGCAGTTGATATGAGTGAAGTTGCTTTTGCGAATTTATTTGGAGCTGCTGGAACTGTTGTGTCGTTAACAATGTGTGCATGGCTTGATTGTTGCGATAAAATTGTTGATGATTCGCTCCAGACGAGGGAGGAAAGTTCATCATAGCTCCACCGTTTGCCATGCCTTGCCCAGTTAACACTTTCAGATGCTGTATCTCCTCTCTCAGAGCATCATTTAAGGCTATCACAAGAAAAAAAAAAAAAAAAAAAGGAAAATGACTTATAACAATGTCTTTGAAACAATTACCACTAAAAATATTCTCCAATATACAATAGAAATAAAGAAAAGAAAATAGTGTTGTAAGAGATTCTCACCATCTTGCAAGTTCACTTGTTGTTCCATCGTTTGCAAGCGCACTTTAAGTTCACTGTTTTCCGCAGTCAAGCCATTGGTATCTCTCTGTTATATTAAGTAAAAGCCAAAGGGACAAATGTCAAACATGTGATCTTACCTTTCAGGGAACGGGTTCCATATTGGATAGTAGTTTAATCTTAGTTCATGGAACTCCAAAAAATAATTCATGTAAAAAATTATCTTATTTTTCAGGTTCGGGGGTTAAGAACAATATGCTATATTTGACTCTACTACTCTATGGGGTTCATATTGTGCATAGGATATACATTAGTCCAATCCACCTGAGTGGAAAATAATGGTAATTTTGATTATTTTAACTTAGGCTGCAGATTCCAAACACATGATGCAAAGACTTCTTAGGGTAAATTTATTTTATTATACATTAAACTGTCCAAAAAACTATGCACACATTCAAAATATGCTACATATGGGGGCAACCTAAGCCAAGTTGGTCAGACTGTTGAGTTAGTAACCACAAGATTATAAGTTCGACTCCACGGGAGCAACCTATTAGCCTTCTTGGTTTGAGCCAGATAGCTATGGGCAACTAGAACGCTGGGTTTACCTAATGCACACCCTCGGGTAGAGACTACAGGTTTCCCTCATCACTAAAAAAGTTTTGTTTTTTTTTTTTTTTAAATGCTACATATTATAGATTTATAGTCTTTCTTTCCTCCTTTCAACATCCATTAACCCCACTTCCCCCAACAAAACATCCCAGAAAAAGGAAACAAACACAATTGAAGAATACAAGTGGCAATAAAAACAACCAAACAGTAGAATTAGTACCGAAAAAATAGGTAACAGATATACCTGCAACAAGGTCAACTGAGCAGACAATGAAGTAGCTTCTGTTTGAAGAGTCTGGACCTTTCTTTCAAGCTCAGCTATATATCTCATTTTCCTTTCCTTTGATCTAGCAGCGGATTGCCTGTTCGCCCAAATCCTGGTACACAGAAAAGATAGGCAACAAGCCAACAATATGAGATAATGCAAGTAAAACAAAGTGTTCGCTTTTGGTAGATCCACAACGGATAAACTTTACATAGGTGATATAACAATTGCGCCAACCTTGTCTGCCTCTTATCAACACAAATGATATGCCAGACCTTATGTCCTTATAGTTCACATATTTAAAAACTAGTGCAAGTGAGAAACATTATTACCAAAAGAGATAGTAAATAACCATTTTTGGTTGGTCAGAATGCCCCCAAAACAATTACGTCCCCACAAATACAGTACAACTCTATATTCATCATTCTTTAATTTAGCATGTCAACCAGCTTGGTAAGGTAACTACAGTGGTACCCTTTTCGTGAATCAAACAATCACTTATCCAATAAAATGAGTAACATATCAATATGTCAAACTATAACAAAAAACCAGTGTTGCAAAAATCGCACCTAGGCGCTAGGCGGTCATCAGGCGCCTAGCGATTTTTTCAACATTGCAAAAAACACAGTAAAAAGCATTGCAGGAAATGTATTACGATTCAAGAATTCATAAAAAAATTACCTTTTTGCACGCTTTGGGTCAATAAGGGCAAGCTCAGCAAGCTTGGCAGCAGACATGGCTTTTTTCAATTCAGCAGGAGATTGCTCTTCGGAACCCGATGTGAGCATTTCTGCCTTGATAGTTGTCGAACCATCCATAGACTGGCTATGCTGATGTCTAACTCTTGGCCTCTCGCTAGCAGCAGGACTAACATTCTCAAATGTTGGCATCAATGATCCAGATGCTGGAGTTTGGGCCATAGCTCCCGAGGAAGATGACTCGCCCGCTTGGAATGCAGAAGTTGCAGACGATGCATTAATCTTATCCATGTCAAGGAACATCGAGAATAGGTCCTCCTCAGTCTCGTCCGACAAAGATGGTCCATCAAATCCACCAACAACACCGAGATCACTATCGAAACTGATGTCATCAGGAAGTGTAAGAATCTCTGAATGTGCTCGTCGGTGGCCCATATGCTTCCTCGGGTTATCAGGCATACAGCTAATATCATAACTAAACTGGGTAGAATCTGATGGCCTCCCAATACCAAAATGGCCTCCTGATTCAGAAGCACCCGCTGATGATGGCCCTAAAGGGGGCAAACTGAAAGATCCAGATGGCTCTGACTTTACCGAAGATCTCCCTGAGGGAGGCAACAAACCCCCTCCTCCATGGCCTGAAGATTTATCCTTATCCATACACTAAATTCTCCAAACTTCTTCAACACCCTAAACCCAAACCTAAAATTCCAACACCTGAGCAAAATAGCTTGACAAACCCTAATGCCCAATAAATATCAAAACACTCAAAGACTAATTCAAACAACTAAGAACTCCGTTTCTGCTACCCGTAACTATGAAAAGAGTGGGTATTCAAGCAGCGCCCAAGATACAACTTCAACAGCTTTTACAAGGAGCACGATAACCCACCCTTACATACAAACACACAGATAGAAAGTTCCTTCACCAAATTCAACCCTAGAAATGTAAAGAAAGACTTGTAAAATGAGTGGAACGGGAAAAAATAACAAAAACCCAGAGAAAAACTCCCAATATATATCTGAAAAATTATATCTTTTCAAGTGAACAGTGCAGAAATACTGATCAGCTGAGAACAGACCGAGACGCGTAAATCCCAGAGACGAGAGAGGAACCTTATTTTTAAAAGCAAGAAAGCGACTTTGTCCACAGAATAATTGAAACGAAGAATAGGGAGCGTATAAAAAATCACAAAGAAAGAAGAAAAAGAACTTACGCCGCCTAGCTTTTTGTGGTTTGAGATCAGATCTCCGGAAAGAGCAATGAGAAAGCGAGGATGGGTCTGCACATGGGGGAGAAAGAAAGAGAGAGAGAGAGAGAGAAATGGAAGGTTCCAAGTTGCGAGTGAGGAGGGGATATAGAATAGAATAGAAGAAGAAGAGTGTTTAACACAAGTTGGGTTCGGCCTCGCTAGTGTCACAAAACGTGGTAATGGGGACAACCAGACAAGTCGACATGGCCACCCACCCATCCCACCTGCTATTATCTTTATCTCTATTCAAAATTTCAAACTATCAACTGATAAGAACCATGTTTTTGGTCACACTATAATCGCTATCCCTAACGCTGCATTACACACACACGATTACGTATTAATGATTGCAGTATTAATTATTATGTGACGCATTTTATGTTTGAAATACTTATTTTTCTTTATTTTACATTCTTTTGATCCGCATGAATTGACGATCAAATTTAGTTTTTCATAACACTGCATTACACAATTACGTATTAATTATTGCAGTATTAATTAATATGTGATGCATTTTATGTTTGAAATATTTATTAACTTGGGCGAATGGTATTTTTTTTTCTTTATTTTACATTCTTTTGATTAACACGGATCGACGGTCAAATTTAGTTAATAGTTTTTAATTGAACAACCGTTTTCATGTAATCATTCTTTCAGATATTTATATCGCAGTTTACATTTTCCATCAACATGAGTGTTTTTTACACACATACAATGATACAACATACATTATATCAAATTATGATTAATTCTTATCCTCATAATACTTGAATGATTATACCAGGTGCAAAAGATTCTTGTACTGAAACACACTTTAAATTTTTCTTATATTATTTCATTTATCTCATTTTACATCGCCCATGTTACTAGATTACTCATTTCCAAACGAAAACGTCTTTCATTTGCGGCTATGCTACCAATCAACATCAACATAGATTAAAAAAATAAAATCAAATTATGAGACTGAAAATTGTCCAACCAAAGGTACGAACAACAAAACAATCTGTCCAAACCAAACCAAACCAAAAAGTGAAAAACACAAAACCCACTTTTTTTTTTTTTTTCTTTTCTCGGCCCGCTGCTACGATCCACAAAAACCAACACAGTAGTCGCGTTTCGGAAACATTTCTGTCCATCCACTCTGCCATATTGCGCTCACCTCCGTCCAAACAAAAATTCAACCCACCTACAACGCCCACAAAAAATAATTCAGTTTCGTTCATTAATTAAACCCAGAATTTACCACTTCCCCTCACCTCACGTATTCCGCACATTATTTAATACAGTAGCGGGGAACACAAAATAAAACAAAATTATATAATATTTACTCTGCCCAGAACAGCACCCACATGGGGGGACTAATATTTTACTTTTTATTATTTTTTTCTTTGTTTTTACGCAGTAGTTTGATACTGTTATCACGCTGTGCATAGAAGAATTGTAAGGCAAGTTTGACAGCAATTGTAGGGTAGCCAACGCAGACCAGCAAATTCACGTCCAAACAGGAGAATACAAAAGTCAAACATAACTGCTGCTATTGTATAAGCTGTTCCCGTTTACGTTTTCGTAGGTTCCGTGACGTAAAATAAGAAAAAGTTCTGTTCCCAAGGGCTGGGCTTGCTGGGTAAGGCAGTACCTAACTAAAATAATTTTATAGTACGACGTTTGCAAACACAAAACACTAGTACAGTTTGTGTACGAGTATGTTGATTCACAGCCTACCCAAAACCGCATTAGTTTGGGATTATAACACGATAATCAACTCCTCCTAATCAGCACAGTGAAAATATAGTTTGTTACCTAAAACCTTGGACCTGCCAATTTTTGAGCCTAGATTTTAAGAGACTTCCATTGTTATGTTGGTAGTTAACAAAAAGAAAACTGGAGTGTTAGTGTAGTAGCTTCAGTGGGTAACGTAACGGGTTATACGCACCAATAGATATAGATAGATAGATGTTGGACCTGTTGGCTGCATTACTAAGGTATTAACATATCATCTGCTCTCTGCAATAACACACACACAAGTAAAGCTTATCAACAGAAGTAATTCATCCTTCAGCTTCATTATGTGAACATAGGAAGGAAGGATATTGGTTAGACAGGGGCAAAAGGTTCTGAAGAAAGTAGGAAGATCGCTTTTGCAAGAAAAAAGGAAGAAGAGCAAGTAAACTAATGCATCATGTTGTTCACTTCTCAACTCAACTGCCCTGCCAACCCGACTGATCATTTTGCACTTTCTGCATTCATTCTTTCTCATTTAATAAACAATGCAATAGAGTAGTTGTAATTTGTAAACACAGAGTTGCATTCCTTAAAATTGCATTCAAATCATTTAAAACCTTCAACTGAGTCGTCTGTTGACATCAAAACATTGCAGGTTCAAATGGTGAAATATGGAGGGATTAGGGCAAAGAAACTGTTATTCAATCTCCACTGTTTCAACCACCCTATATAAATACATTCAATTAACCCAAACTTTATATCCACACTTAAACAATTGCAAAAGCCTATCCAAAATTCCAGAAAAAAGGGGGGCTTTTTGGCATTGGTTGCAGAATTGACTGGCCTGTTAGTTCTTAGGAAAAGTGATGGATTTGGGCAACTAACTTTGGGAGGACAGTTAGCTCATGCCAGCTTGAGCAAGTAAAACACACCTAAAGTCGAGAATGACAGATCCTACGCTGCAATAGCAAATTAATGGAATGCAAAGTTTGCGTGACATATTAATGTTGTATGCATACTGCTATGATTGGTTACGTTCAAGGATGCGGGATTTTGTGGTGCAGCATTATAGAAGGGTGGGGATTAACTTGTGAAATAAAGAAGCCTCTGCTAGGACCACTTGAGCCAAGGTCACCAGCAAGGAACTTGTTTTTCAGTTTATTCCTCTTCGCATGAATTGTATTGAGTAACTCCAGCTATCCTAGTTCGAAAAGATTATAAAACATTGGATTTTGTCCACTTTGGTGTGGCAATGCTTATTATTAGATTGGCTAGGGTAAAGTTTGTGAAAAACCTTTGCAATGCACTAGTTTTCTTCTTATGAGCGAATTGATTTACACTAATACATGACTGTTAATACTCTGCTATTACTATTAAGTTGTTTATTATGCCTCCTTGGGATAGATTTCAAGAGATCTTGCATTGGTGTGGTTTACACCACCATTATTAATCTTAAAACAAAAAATTTGCACAAACCAGCAATATCTTTTAAGGCTTAGTAGAAGTATATAAAAGCCAATTTACTTACAACTCAATAACTTGACAAGGTTCAAAGAAGCCCAGAATGCAGTAAATATATCTCCTTAAGATTTTATAGAACCCCAAGCCTGCTAATACTTCATATATAGATATATATAGAGAGAGAGACACCCACAAGTATAGGAAGAAAATGTGCAAGTTCTTAATAAAAGTAACAAATTATGAAACATAACACCTAACCACTACGTATAATTCTTAAAAAATGCACATCAGCACATAGGAAACAAGCACCAATATAAGGACATCTTGAATTAAAAATTTAAAATAAATCACACTATAACAGATCAATACTAAATCATTCAATCATAGGTAAGCCAGTCAGTCAGACTATAAATTATAAAATCATATTAATTACTTAGTTAGGGGGTAAAAAGAAAACAATTATACTACAATTGTAAAAATTTGATACAGCAAAATTGTCCACCGATTTACTCTTTCCTTGCGATATCATAACTAGGGCAGACAAGATTATAGACCAAAACAAAAAAGAATTCCATCCTTCACTCTTAATACAGAAGGATATGAAGTGATGGCATCTATTTCGCTAATAAACTCACAATCTGTAAATATGAAACCTATGCATTTTATTTCCAGTCAAAAGCGCCTATATATATGAATGAGAGATGAGACTGGTGCAAGGATTATATAGGCTTGAATTGCATGGATGAAAGCATAAGACTAGTCACTGGAATAAGGAATAGCTAAAATGTTAATGTTAGTTTAAAGAAACTGCCCAATCGCAACTAGGTAAGATGACTACCTAGTCTCCGGACTGGGTTCCTATCAAGTAAGAGACAGAAAAATCACTTCATCTGAGCTCATAATTTGATTACCTTGTTTCTTAAATTAGTATACACTACTGTACAGTTTAGAACCATTAAAGGCATTTGCTCTTTTGTAGGCACAACGGCTCGTGTTTTCTAGAAGGGATAGCTCTAAATAAAGAAAAATAATAATAAGATAGTTCAGCTAATTAAGCACAGTGCAACTAATCAAAAAGTCCAGAGCCCATCAAGATATTAGAAAGCGGAAAAATCAACAAATGAAAACAACTAAGGCAGATTATGCACAAAATTTTAGCTCATTTCACATGGACATTTAGAAACTCATCCAAACAAGCAAAAAAAGCAAGAAGCAATTACCTGGATGGAAGGCACCATCAATGACTCCCTGACCCTTGACCACTAGGCTGTTGCTGTATTTGTGAGAGAAGATTGGCAGCAAACAGTAGTGTTGCTTGATACCGCTCATTCTTATTTTCCTCAGACTCAAAACCCTCTTGTCCTACCCCATAGAATGTAGATTGAAGCTGTTGAGGGTGACCTGTAATCCCTGATCCAGAAGCCTGTGGTGTGCTAGCATGAGGCTGAGAATTCACCTGATTGGGAAGTACAGGATGAGTTGTAGGTTGCTGAACTACTGTGGAACCATACATTACGGAGGCATCTGATGCAAGAAGCCCAGGGCCTCTAAGCAAACCCTGAGACATTCCAACTGGATTGTGCTGCTCAACATGTGGTGGAACCCCAATCTGTCCACTCTGTGGAGGGATGGTGGTCGAGGTGAGTACTTTAGATGATGCAGCAGCCTGTGTTTGCAGGTCAAAAGGATGCTGCTCATGAATTTGGTTGAACCCAACAACCCCATGAGCAGAATGGTTGGGCGCATTGAAGATTGGAGCATGAGTCTGGGCTGGGGGTATAGGTTGTACTTGAGTGTTAAAGTGGCTACCCAACTGGGATCCTAAATGACCAGCTTGCTCAGGAGTTTGTTGTTCATATCTCCAACCCTGTGGATGTCCTTTATCTGGTGCAGCAGTTGTATTTAACACAGGCCCAGGTGTAGAAGCTA